AAAAATGCAATAAAATAAATGTATATTAAAAAATCTTCTTTATTCCAAATATATTTTTCTTTACATGTAGGCTACTGATAAATATCGAGGTACAAAAGAGATTAATGTTCGACAACCAGCAATAGTTCTTTTAAATCCCGAAGATGCAGGCTCATTGTTGCAAGAGCCAAATACTACTGAACAAAAAAACATGTTTGAATATTGGCAAAAAAGAGCATTCATCTATATAATGGGTAAATGAATATCATATTGCATTTTCATCTAAGATTGACTACTATGATTATTACAATATTCTTCCTCTCTAGGTCCTGATGAATACTTTTACAAACGACAACGGCGTCAACAGAATGCTATCACAACTGCAGATGGTAATCAAGTATCAAATAGCACTTCATCCATGAGTAGCACTGAAGAACGTATAGGTGGACAATACGAATTCGATGAAATGATTCAACATTATGAAGAGAAACATTCAAAATAATTATCAATTAGTTTAATTCAAACAAAAGGGAATTCAAAGACAGTTTTTTTAGCTAAGAATCATAGCTTGTATATTACACAACTTTTTTTTTCAGTTTTCTTTTTGTGTTTAGTTACAGTTCAACTTACTTTTAAATTGATTAGGATTTATCAACATAGAATTTTTCTTTTTCTTTTTTGATTGTAGATCATTAAAAAAACATGGATATTATGAATTTAATTGGTTCTGATGATTCTAACAATAGTATCATTTGTACAAATCCATCTTTGGAAAATCCAGGAGAATATAAACAAGAAATAAATACAACATTATCATCTATTGATCAAGTACGATTCCTTGTACGATAAACTGTATTGTGATATTTACTTGTTTGCTCGTTGAATTTAGGTGTCGATAGAAAATAAAAGATATTGTATAGCTAAAATTCGACAATGGTTAGAAGTAGATCATACTCTATCAGAAATATATCGACAACATGGTTATTCGATTGCAAGTGTTTATTCATTGATCATGGAACAAGATTTTTGGATAACTTATCAAAGTCATACACATGTCGAAGTTCTTTGGTTATCAAATATGTCAAAAGCTATGCTTGAATACCATAGTATCAGTAGAGTATTTTTTAAAATTGAAAATTTTATGAATCAACAGCTGAAAATAATCGAAAAACAATTACATGAAGCCTTCATAATATTGGCTGACTATCTACAAAAAGAAGAAGAAGAAAAAGATCAAATTTTTAAATCATCTACTATTGATACTAGTCTACTCA